CTTTGAGTCAACAACAATGTGAGCCAAGTAAGGGTACTAATTACCTTGAACACTGTAATTAAATCAAAAAGGAACCCCCAAAACAGTATTGGTAAATATTAAAAAGCCACCCTCCAAACCCCTACCACCACTCAGGAAGCCAAAGCCCACTCCCCGAAACCCGAAGCCGCCTCTACGAACCCCGCAACCCCCGAAAGCCCTGAACGCTAAGCCTTTACGGAGCACTTTCGAAACCCCAGAAGCCCTAAAAGCCCCGAAGGACCTAACGGCGCCCAAAACCATAGAGGCCTCGAGCCCCAACACCCGAAAGGCCGAAAGTTACCCGAAAAGAATTGAGCCCTAAACCACTAAAGCAGCTGAGTATCGCTGCTAAGAGGTCCGATGTGTGGACCCGAGTCACCTGCACGTTGGAGTCCGAGCTACCGGGCTGTTTTTAGCGGTTTAGAGGTTTGCGGGTTTTTGGGTAGAGTCTAGGGATTCGGGGTTTATGGGCTTTGGGCTTATAGAGGGCTTTATGAGGTTTCTACATTGGGTATAACTTAACGTTGTAATTATCTTAGATTGGGGGTCGTATATTTGGGATCTAACTAGGGTTTGTATCTCGTTTTCTAAAGCTCTGATTTTGGGTTCGGTTCCCGGATTTCGGACTCAGGGCGCGAGATCCGGGTACGATACGGCATGAATGTCACGGCGCAAAAAGTGGTCTCTCGACTCCAAGACGGACGCGACGGCCAGCAGCACCTTCTCAAACGGTCGAAGAGAATCCTGGGCTACGCTGAGATCCGGTCTACACTCAGGACAGCGGGCAAAGAATCGGGCTCCGAAGCCATTGAGAACAGGTTGCTGAAGGCTGGGCTCTCCATGAGTGCGAAAAGAATCGCATCTCTCCTTCGATGCTTCGATCGGGTCTCTGCAGCCGGGCCAGAAGACACTCCTGTGTTTGGAGCAAGTGGACTCGTTCTATGCTGGATATGTTGGCAAGAGTACCCACTCCTTCCATACCTAGTTTTTTGTAAACCGAGTCAGAAATCGGAGTTTTGTTTGGGTTGTGGCTGCTTTGCTGCGAGGAATGTCCAAGACACTTTGCTGGAATGTTACAGGTCATTGTACGTGAACTAGCTCACGTTCAAGTGTCGTGGCCACTGGCCCAAAATCCCCGAAAACCCACCAAACAAACCCTGAACGTTTACATCCTGCGGCAGCGACGTTCATCTTGATCTTGAACTTCTACCACCCTCTGAGATTTCAGGCCTACTCAAACCCCCAGGCAACATAAGGCCCTGAGGCCGTAAGTTGAGCCTTCCGGGCGAGGGTGCGCATGCTTCTGCTTTTGATAAGGCCCAATGAAACCGTTGTAAGCTTAGGGTTTATAAGGATCCAGAATAAGCCGGTGCACTCTTGAAGACTTACCCCTCTTGCCTGAGCGGCTGAGGCAAAACCCATGAATCCTGAAACCCCGAAGCCCTTGACTCTAAAACACTTGGACCCTTAAGCCCGTGCCTCTTAAACCCTTGAAGCCCCACAGTAAACCTCCAGCAATACAACTCTCTAGATAATTCTTATAGCATCCTTTGCATCCTTTTGGGATCCCTTTGGCACCTTTCAAGACTTAGTTGTGCCCACCCTCAGCCGTGTTGGTATAGCAGATTCCTGTTAGAACCCTAAAGGTCAACCTAATGTTCCGAGGAATCTCAACCCAGACGCGGGTCGAACAAACATCGGGCCAGGTTTGGGCTTAAGGCTTGCAGGGCTTTTGGGTTCTGGGTTTACGGGTATTTGGCTTCGGCATCTGCAGGGTTATTCGGTTTTCGGCGGATCCTGAGGCTATGTTGTTTATGGTATGCGCCGGCTTGTGCATGAGGGAGCCGCCAAATTAAATCAGGACCCTAAGCCTTAAACTTCAGGTTAATATGATTTTTGCTTGCTTATGCGTGTAATACTTCTTGGCTCAGGTTTGTAGTGACAAACAGGGGTGAGAATGATGTGGCAGACTAGACAGCACCAACTACAGAGGGTTTAAGGGTTGAGGGTTGCTGCAGTGCTAAATTCTGCTTGAAACCTAGAGCCTGAACCGAGTTTTCCTGCAAAACAGGGTCAGTTTCTTGCCCCAGAACTGTCCAGGGCCGCGTGTAGCTCATGCCGCTCCGGGCATGGTTCTTGCGAAGGGTTGCCGAAGGCGTTTCATAGGAGGCCAAATGGGGTTTTAGCCTATGGGGGTTTAGTAGGGATTAGGGTTCCCATAATAGGGTTCATATTAAGGAATCCCTACCCCAAGAATCTTAAACCCCCCTTTTGGCTTCTGTGAAACTAACCTGTTTTGCAGCGCGTACAGTGTGTGTACCTAGCGTTTTGTACAGTTGCAGACGTTCCCCTCTACCGCAGGGGCCCCTTGAGTTCAAGCCTACGGCTGAGCGGAAAAGTGACTAGTCTTCGCACTGGTAGCGGAGCTCTCGGTTAAGAGAACCAGAGCTCGTAGCCCAATAGTACGCCCCCTGCGCGGGCGTGTGGTCGCCATGGCCAGTGGATCGCTGGCATATCGACCACACCAGGATCTGGACACAGACCTGACGAAGTTTGGCTTCCTAGTCTACGCCGGAACCGTTCGTGACTTTCACGAGTGGGAGTTCCGAGCTATGACGAGATGGAAGCAGACCAAGGTTGAGGATAGATCCGACCTTGCGTCCAAGTTCCTCGACTCCTTAAGGAGCGAGGCATACATTGTCGCAGAGGATTTGGGTACCGACGTTTTGTTCTCGAGTCAAAACATCCCCAAGGTGATCGAGGCAGTTAGAGAACGCCTGTTCCCTCTGGCGGAACAAGAGACGAAAGAACTTTATCGGTTAGGGACCCAAGTCGGCGGCATGTTGTCACGACAGCCGGGAGAGCCGATGATCTCCTACATCGACCGCCGCAAGCGGTGGCTACGCAAGCTTCAGCAATTAGACAAGGCCCTTCACATAAGTGAAGCGGTGCTGACAGATCTGTTGCTGGACAACAGCGGGCTCACCCGGCAAGAGCGACTCATGGTGCTGACCTCGATGGCAGGCAGCACAGCGACGAAGGATGCTGAGACATCGCTGATTCGCATGCATAATCGTATCCACACGTTGGAACGAAAGCAGCCATCCGCCAAAGGCGGACTGGCAAAGGGAAAGGTTTCCACAGGAAGGGAGACCGAGGAAAAGGTAAAGGATACGGAAAGAGATCCCAGAAAGGGACTGCTTACACGTACCTTTCGGCCGTGGAAGACCTTTTCGAGTACCCTGACGCCGAGGAAGACGACGACGGAACAGCCTACCTGGCAGGACAAGAGGACCAGGACGGCCAGGACGGTGATGGGCAGGACTGGGCGTACCACGGAGAAGAGCTCCCCGTGTACGACAAGGAAGAGGACACCGCGTGTGTTGCCCAGTCGGCCGACGCTTCCCTAAGGGACGTCGAGCTTGATGTCTTCACCGCCTTTATAGGCGCTGGGTTCGATGAGGAAGACAAAGAGGCTTTGGCGTTTCTCGCAGACACCGTGCAGTGCGAGACCGTTGCCTTTATGGCGCGGGCCAAGGCTAAGGGTAAAGGAAAGTCTGTGATGCAGAGGAGTGCACATGGATATCGGCCGCGATCTACCGGTCTCACTGTTGAAGACAGGAGACGGAAGCTTCATGAGATTAAACTCAGGAGCACGTGCAAAACGTGTGGCAGAAAGGGCCACTGGGCTGGTGACAAGGAATGCCCAGGCCCAGGGAAAGGTGCAGGAAAGCCCGCAGTGGCACACCTTGCCCAGGTCAGGCGTGTGATGGATAAATCCACACAGACCTGTGACTTCATCGCTAGCCCCAGCGAGAGCGACAGCGAGAGTCAAAGCTTTGACCCGGAGCCAACAGCGAACTACGTTAGCTTGGGTCAGGACTCTGAGACGGAGCCTGCGGCGTACATGGGTTTCTTCGACAAGACTGACTTTGAAGAGTCCGACGAAGAGCTCTTGGACGACTTTGCGTCGCAAGGTGCTCCCTCCACGGAATGGGATACCATAGAGTACCCTGATGGCAGCGACCAGGTGTTTCGGTTCGGGATGCATAGGGGTAGCACCTACCTTGAGGTTTTGCAGAACCACCCCGATTACTACCATTGGGGCCTCAAGGAGAAAGAGCCGAGCACCATGCTAGAAGCATGGCTTGTCTGGGTGTATCGCAACTTTGAGGTTCCACCGGTTGGCGGTGGAAGGGCGACACTTAGGGCAGCCACGTTGCCGGTGGAGGCCGACTCGCTGCAGAAGGCTAGGAAGGAGGTGACCCTTGAGAAGGCACCTAAGAGCAAGCTCGGGTTGTTGAAGCCGGATCCCAAAGGACCGTGCGTTGGAGGATGTCCCGCACATGCATTGAACAAAGCAGGGAGCAATGCGCACGTAATCAAGACCACTTGCATGTTGTGCGGTAACAGGACCTCAAACCCGAGACCAAAGGCTGTACCGAAGAAGGACCCACTCACGTGCGAGCACAAGCGCACGGACAACAGGAACAGCACGAGATCGGTACACCGCACCTTTTGTCTTGATTGTTGCACTATAGTAGAGGAAATCCCGCAGAAGCTCTTTAAGGAGCAGAAGGGACTCGCCGAGCAGGTGCAGCAGTCTCCACTCAAGGTGCAGAACCTCACGAGGAGACAGCTGGAGGAGTACAACTTTACGAAGTTTGAGGCAGGTGAGGTGGTAAAGAAGTTCTTCAAGCACATGGACAAGTTTTTGTTGAAAGTTGACCAAGTCAGTTCAACCGAGTTGTCTAGTTGCCTTGAGGATGCTATGGACCAGGTTGTGGACGAAGTTACGCATGCAACATGGTAGGGCTGCTGATGTAGCTAGGTCTAGTCAGGACGTAGAGCCCCCACCTTTGCCTGCGTTTTCCCCCGTACGTAGAGAGCGTAGGAGTGCACAGCCTCGTGAGCAAGCTTCGCCCGCCGCCGCAGCAGCAGCTGGCCCGAGAGAGAGAGAAGCAGCTGCTAGAGACGCCATGGCGGCGTCTCCTCCCAGCGGGAAGGGCTGGGGAGCCCGCGAAAAGTTCGCCGGCGTGGCGACGGCGGAGAAGAGTGGTGATCCCGAAGGGGACACCAAGCTGACCCTCACAGCCTTGGTGGGGCAGCTGCAGCGAGATGATCTCGAAGGAGACATCAGCCCGAAGAGCGTGCAGAGCTCAGACAGTGAGCCTGCACCCCTGGACGAGGAGATTGCTGAGCCGCAACTCCAGCTCGTGGATCCCTTAGAGGACCACGAAAACGTCTGGGTGATGCTGGACGAGGGCTGCAACCAGACATGCCACGGGACGAAATGGAGGGCTCACTCCTCAAAGGTCCTGGCAAAGTTTGGGTTGCAGTTCACCAGCGTGCGCTCGAGCGGCACGAGCTTCAAGGGCATTGGAGCGGCCCGAGCGACGGGCAAGTTCGCAATGCCGTTCGCCCTCCGCATCATGCCGGAGAGCGGAGGCCTTCGCCGGAGCACCCGTCTGCAGGGAGAGCTCTCCAGCGTGGAGCTGGACTCTCCGGACGTGCTCTGCCTCCTGTCCTTGCAGGATCAGGTTCAGCTTGGCCTGATCAAGGACCTGAGGCGCGGCGAGTGCCGAATCTCGGGCTACGCCGGGACACTGCAGTTGGCGAGGCACTCGAAGACCGGCCTCCTCCTCCTGTGCGTGAGCCAGTTTGGGGCGAACGTTACAGAGAGGCACAGAAAGTTTGCAGTGAATCCGGAGGTGATCCCTAAGAGGACATCTAAGAAGGAGAAGAACACTTTCTCGATCCCTTTGAGGGACGGGATGGCACGCAAGAAAGAAACCTTGATCCCTTCAGGGGACAAGGACAGCACGGCGTATATGCTGTCCGAGATGGTGAAGGAGACAGAAGGGCAGCGGAAGAACGTTTTGGTGGTCACGTTGGGCTTGGAGAAGCTAGAGACCTGCCAACGTGGGCGCGGCACCTATCGTGGACTCACGGAACTTATCCGTGGTATGCGAAAAGGGCAGTCGCACGAGTTCTCGCTGAACAACGAGGCCCACGAGGACACGCTTCTGGAAAGCCTGCGCCAGAACTTTGAGTCCTTCCGGGACTACGCCACGGAGCAGATCCTTTTTCTGGACTGCCGGCACATGAACGACCCGGGCAAGGACAAGTCCCTCAGGGACCACTTAGGCACGTACCCCAAGAACGTGCAAGCCATGGTTTTGGACCCAAAGACGAACGGAAAATGGGTGGCGTTCATGAAGGAGGTCGTGCCGGCCGTGCACAAGCTCATCCAGGAGAACGAGCAGTGCGTGATCTTTATGTTTTGCAAATCGGGAAGACACAGGTCTGTCTCGAATGCAAAGATCATGTACGATCTCATAAAGGAGACGTACGAAGTGGAGGCGAGTCTACTTCACCTTTGCGACGGCTACAACTGGCGATATCTATGCGGTGGTTGCGCGGAGTGCAACTGGGAGTCCAAGGAGGCTAAAAGCACCGCAGAGAAGGTGATGGACTTCGCGAGGGAGCGCTGGTTCGAGTTCGTGCCCAAGGTGTGGGTGCGAAAGAACGACCAGCGCCGCTTAGGCGACGACGGCGTCGTGGTGGAAGAGCCGATCCCTTCGGGGACAGCTCAGGCAGAAGGCGCGGGATCAAGCACTGACCCGCCTGCCGAGCAGGAGGCCGCCCAGGACGAGCAGCAGGACGAGCAGCTCGAAGGCGAGGCCCACGACGAGGTCGTTCTTTCGCACCCACACCTTGGGCACGAACTCGAACCAACGCTCTCTTGCGAAGTCCATCACCTTCTCTGCGGTGCTTTGAGCCTCCTTGGACTCCCAGTTGCACTCCGCGCAACCACCGCATAGATATCGCCAGTTGTAGCCGTCGCAAAGGTGAAGTAGACTCGCCTCCACTTCGTACGTCTTCTTTATGAGATCGTACATGATCTTTGCATTCGAGACAGACCTGTGTCTTCCCGATTTGCAAAACATAAAGATCACGCACTGCTCGTTCTCCTGGATGAGCTTGTGCACGGCCGGCACGACCTCCTTCATGAACGCCACCCATTTTCCGTTCTCGTCTTCGGGTCCAAAACCATGGCTTGCACGTTCTTGGGGTACGTGCCTAAGTGGTCCCTGAGGGACTTGTCCTTGCCCGGGTCGTTCATGTGCCGGCAGTCCAGAAAAAGGATCTGCTCCGTGGCGTAGTCCCGGAAGGACTCAAAGTTCTGGCGCAGGCTTTCCAGAAGCGTGTCCTCGTGGGCCTCGTTGTTCAGCGAGAACTCGTGCGACTGCCCTTTTCGCATACCACGGATAAGTTCCGTGAGTCCACGATAGGTGCCGCGCCCACGTTGGCAGGTCTCTAGCTTCTCCAAGCCCAACGTGACCACCAAAACGTTCTTCCGCTGCCCTTCTGTCTCCTTCACCATCTCGGACAGCATATACGCCGTGCTGTCCTTGTCCCCTGAAGGGATCAAGGTTTCTTTCTTGCGTGCCATCCCGTCCCTCAAAGGGATCGAGAAAGTGTTCTTCTCCTTCTTAGATGTCCTCTTAGGGATCACCTCCGGATTCACTGCAAACTTTCTGTGCCTCTCTGTAACGTTCGCCCCAAACTGGCTCACGCACAGGAGGAGGAGGCCGGTCTTCGAGTGCCTCGCCAACTGCAGTGTCCCGGCGTAGCCCGAGATTCGGCACTCGCCGCGCCTCAGGTCCTTGATCAGGCCAAGCTGAACCTGATCCTGCAAGGACAGGAGGCAGAGCACGTCCGGAGAGTCCAGCTCCACGCTGGAGAGCTCTCCCTGCAGACGGGTGCTCCGGCGAAGGCCTCCGCTCTCCGGCATGATGCGGAGGGCGAACGGCATTGCGAACTTGCCCGTCGCTCGGGCCGCTCCAATGCCCTTGAAGCTCGTGCCGCTCGAGCGCACGCTGGTGAACTGCAACCCAAACTTTGCCAGGACCTTTGAGGAGTGAGCCCTCCATTTTGTCCCGTGGCATGTCTGGTTGCAGCCCTCGTCCAGCATCACCCAGACGTTTTCGTGGTCCTCTAAGGGATCCACGAGCTGGAGTTGCGGCTCAGCAATCTCCTCGTCCAGGGGTGCAGGCTCACTGTCTGAGCTCTGCACGCTCTTCGGGCTGATGTCTCCTTCGAGATCATCTCGCTGAAGCTGCCCCACCAAGGCTGTGAGGGTCAGCTTGGTGTCCCCTTCGGGATCACCACTCTTCTCCGCCGTCGCCACGCCGGCGAACTTTTCGCGGCTTCCCCAGCCCTTTCCGCTGGGAGGAGACGCCGCCATGGCGTCCCTAACAGCTGCTCCTCTCTCTCTCGGGCCAGCTGCTGCTGCGGCGGCGGGCGAAGCTTGCTCACGAGGCTGTGCACTCCTACGCTCTCTACGTACTGGGGAAAACGCAGGCAAAGGTGGGGGCTCTACGTCCTGACTAGACCTAGCTACATCAGCGGCCCTACCATGTTGCATGCGTAACTTCGTCTGCTCTACAACCTGGTCCATCGCATCCTCAAGGCAACTAGACAACTCGGTTGAACTGACTTGGTCAACTTTCAACAAAAACTTGTCCATGTGCTTGAAGAACTTCTTTACCACCTCACCTGCCTCAAACTTCTTAAAGTTGTACTCCTCCAGCTGTCTCCTCGTGAGGTTCTGCACCTTGAGTGGAGACTGCTGCACCTGCTCGGCGAGTCCCTTCTGCTCCTTAAAGAGCTTCTGCGGGATTTCCTCTACTATAGTGCAACAATCAAGACAAAAGGTGCGGTGTACCGATCTCGTGCTGTTCCTGTTGTCCGTGCGCTTGTGCTCGCACGTGAGTGGGTCCTTCTTCGGTACAGCCTTTGGTCTCGGGTTTGAGGTCCTGTTACCGCACAACATGCAAGTGGTCTTGATTACGTGCGCATTGCTCCCTGCTTTGTTCAATGCATGTGCGGGACATCCTCCAACGCACGGTCCTTTGGGATCCGGCTTCAACAACCCGAGCTTGCTCTTAGGTGCCTTCTCAAGGGTCACCTCCTTCCTAGCCTTCTGCAGCGAGTCGGCCTCCACCGGCAACGTGGCTGCCCTAAGTGTCGCCCTTCCACCGCCAACCGGTGGAACCTCAAAGTTGCGATACACCCAGACAAGCCATGCTTCTAGCATGGTGCTCGGCTCTTTCTCCTTGAGGCCCCAATGGTAGTAATCGGGGTGGTTCTGCAAAACCTCAAGGTAGGTGCTACCCCTATGCATCCCGAACCGAAACACCTGGTCGCTGCCGTCAGGGTACTCTATGGTATCCCATTCCGTGGAGGGAGCGCCTTGCGACGCAAAGTCGTCCAGGAGCTCTTCGTCGGACTCTTCAAAGTCAGTCCTGTCGAAGAAACCCATGTACGCCGCAGGCTCCGTCTCCGAGTCCTGACCCAAGCTAACGTAGTTCGCTGTTGGCTCCGGGTCAAAGCTTTGACTCTCGCTGTCGCTCTCGCTGGGGCTAGCGATGAAGTCGCAGGTCTGTGTGGATTTATCCATCACACGCCTGACCTGGGCAAGGTGTGCCACTGCGGGCTTTCCTGCACCTTTCCCTGGGCCTGGGCATTCCTTGTCACCAGCCCAGTGGCCCTTTCTGCCACACGTTTTGCACGTGCTTCTGAGTTTAATCTCATGAAGCTTCCGTCTCCTGTCTTCAACAGTGAGACCGGTAGATCGCGGCCGATATCCATGTGCACTCCTCTGCATCACAGATTTTCCTTTACCCTTAGCCTTGGCCCGCGCCATAAAGGCAACGGTCTCGCACTGCACGGTGTCTGCGAGAAACGCCAAAGCCTCTTTGTCTTCCTCATCGAACCCAGCGCCTATAAAGGCGGTGAAGACATCAAGCTCGACGTCCCTTAGGGAAGCGTCGGCCGACTGGGCAACACACGCGGTGTCCTCTTCCTTGTCGTACACGGGGAGCTCTTCTCCGTGATACGCCCAGTCCTGCCCATCACCGTCTTGGCCGTCCTGGTCCTCTTGGCCTGCCAGGTAGGCTGTTCCGTCGTCGTCTTCCTCGGCGTCAGGGTACTCGAAACGGTCTTCAACGGCCGAAAGGTACGTGTAAGCAGTCCCTTTCTGGGATCTCTTTCCGTATCCTTTACCTTTTCCTCGGTCTCCCTTCCTGTGGAAACCTTTCCCTTTGCCAGTTCCGCCTTTGGCGGATGGCTGCTTTCGTTCCAACGTGTGGATACGATTATGCATGCGAATCAGCGATGTCTCAGCATCCTTCGTCGCTGTGCTGCCTGCCATCGAGGTCAGCACCATGAGTCGCTCTTGCCGGGTGAGCCCACTGTTGTCCAGCAACAGATCTGTCAGCACCGCTTCACTTATGTGAAGGGCCTTGTCTAATTGCTGAAGCTTGCGTAGCCACCGCTTGCGGCGGTCGATGTAGGAGATCATCGGCTCTCCCGGCTGTCGTGACAACATGCCGCCGACTTGGGTCCCTAACCGATAAAGTTCTTTCGTCTCTTGTTCCGCCAGAGGGAACAGGCGTTCTCTAACTGCCTCGATCACCTTGGGGATGTTTTGACTCGAGAACAAAACGTCGGTACCCAAATCCTCTGCGACAATGTATGCCTCGCTCCTTAAGGAGTCGAGGAACTTGGACGCAAGGTCGGATCTATCCTCAACCTTGGTCTGCTTCCATCTCGTCATAGCTCGGAACTCCCACTCGTGAAAGTCACGAACGGTTCCGGCGTAGACTAGGAAGCCAAACTTCGTCAGGTCTGTGTCCAGATCCTGGTGTGGTCGATACCTTGTGGACGGCTTGACCCTTAAAAAAGCTGACGTGTTGCTTTTCAAATGACCCTTATTTTAAGGTACGTTTGATATGTCCCTTAAAACGGCCTTGGGTGGTTATGAGCGGGATGGATCAGGACCGAACTGTGCTGAACATAGCTTAATCCATGCATTTGGATATGCTAAGTTAGGATCTTGCCCATGATGCCGTCTCGACCCCCCATCTTGCTCATAGATGCGTAGGCGTGACTGACTTTCTGCGAAACGACGGGGAGAGAAAAAAACCTTAATTCCTGATTCCCTAATTACGTAATCATCCGAAAATATGAAAACATTCTGGTTTCCGGAAATCAGGTATCGCGTGTGGTGCACGATCATGCAGGAGCATGCGAGATCAGTTGCACTCATGCATCAGACGCTCCAGTGATTAAGCAGCTGGCTGTTCGAGAAAATGTTTGTGCCATGCACGGGGCATGGCTTGTCGGATCGATTGTGCTATAGCGCCAGGAACTGCAGTTCATTTTAATTACAACGGCACGCAGGCCATCATATGCGTTTTCGCTGATTTCATGTTTCCTGCAATCGAGCCTCGTTCATGGTGCTCGGGGCCGAGAATCTTGATGATTCGTGGGCAGGACCGAATTGGATGTAGTCTTCGTGTTGCAAACGTACTTCTATCCTCAATTAAACAGCCAAAGAAATGCGCAGGACCTTTTCCTCGAGAAGTTCGACCCCGAGTGGGTGAAACTTTTCGTTGCGGCAGGACTGCGGGATTTGACGGCCTTGGTCGTGTCAGTATCACGGTAATGGAAATCGCCCGTCGAGACTTCGGTTGCATTGGGCTGTCACATCGCTTGCGTCTTGAGGACCAGCGGTGGTGGTGCCCCCATAACTTCATGAAGGACGGGTCAGATTGCAAAGGTTCTGGTATTGTGCAGTTGAAGAAATGGCCATGTTGAAGGTTTTGCAACAGAGACCGGGCTCTCTAGCCAGCCAATCCATCGATTGTACCTGGCATGCAGGATGCCTCGCCCAGCGACCTACAAGCCGAAGATCTGCAGGGTCACACGTGATGAAGATGAGGATGCAGGTGCCAATAGATTGCGGCCGTTGTTTGCATAGTGCTCACGAATGCAGTGCAGCAATCCCCCACATGCGAGCATGGTCCGATGAAGCTTGAGTTGTGCAGCAGAGCATATTCTGCATCTTGCAGATGCTTCAGTTGTTTTGTTCGAGCTCGGCATGTGCTCTTTCGATTGCTGTCAGATACCAGATAATTTCAGGCAGACTTTCAGCATGGAGCTAGCATGCAGGGTTCATGGGGTCCGGCATTGCAAATTCGGAGCTCGCTTTTTGCCAAACATAGTCCAGCCATGGCTGCTTTGATTCCTGAGAAGGTTCATTTTGAACCAGGTGACGAGGCTAAACGAGTCTCGAAGGAGTTGAGCAGAGAACCGTCCCTGATTGCTGCAGCTTGGAGGAATTGGGCACAGACGCATGTAACTCTTTGGGTTTTGCTTGCTTGTTCCCGTGCCTGAGCATCAGCTTTCTGAGGCAGGCTTGAATATGGTGGTCGACCCAACAGGCAAACTGCTGACAAAAAGGAAAACCGTTTCACGCAAAGATGTCATCGCCAACCCGCGAGTGCCCCATCTCAACATATTTTGTCCTTGGAGCATACATCTACAGATCGTCAGAAGTTTGTGCTCCACATCTAAGGTTATTGCGGCAGCCGTGCGAGGGGGTCTGAAGTCGCGCAAGCGACAGAGCGCTTACATATATTGTGATGCTATCTTGGATTTTGTCAATGCCAACCGAATCTTGCCGAAAGGGGTGCTCATAACAGCACCGTCCGTTCAGAACTGGGCCTGCAGATCTGGCCAAGCGATCCGGAAGCTGGCAGTTTGTCTGAAACATTTAGTGCAAGGGTTCGACTTGGGCTGGTAGAAATGTGTTCCTTTAATATTGCCGGTTGTAGCCGAGGTGACGAAATTCAAGCACCTTGTCCGTCGGGCACGGAGTTCGCATCAGGCCCAGCTCCGGGAGATGAAGCAGGAGCTGGCTGGATACTTGAACGGTGCTGTGCCTGGGCTCCATATTTTTTCTTATGTACTTGGCCCATGCACGAAGCTCTGCATGCCACAATATACATTTCGTTCCAGCACGTGTAAGGATACAGAGTCGGAGGATGAGGAGCAGAGCCAATCAGATGATGATGGTGATGTTGCTATATCTATTCTGGCTGAGCATGACGACGAGGGATCAGCTGCAACTTGAAGCATTTGGGGATTCCCTTGTATCGCCACTTGCATGAAATGTCACATGTGCTTGAAGCCTGCAAGGTTGGGAGTTCCAACAGCTCTGCGGTGACCCCGCCTCTCCATATCCCGGCTTTGAGCGGTGAGATGCAGAGCCTTGTCGCGGAATAGTGCTGCTCGCACCCTGCACTCAGCAATCTATCGTCAGCTTGAATACGTACAATGCTATATCCGAGGATGGCTTTGGCCAGGCTGCAAGCACAAAGCAGGAAGGTGAAGCAGGATTGTGATTCAACCGCGAAGCCCGCTGCAGAACCCAAGGAAGCATCGAAAAACAAGAAGCCCAAGAAGGGTGTTCACTCCGAGATCGAGGGAAAGTTGCTTCCCGAGAAGGCTTCTTGCCCTGTACTGGTTTCAGCGGAGATGCTTGTTGTGCTGTGAGACTGCCAAGTGTATGCATTGCAGGTTATGGAAAGCCTTGAAAGCCTGCTTGCATCGAAATCGGAGCCCGTTAAGCCGTTCCTACCCAGTGCACAGTGGCGTGGTGCATTTTGGATTTGATCGATTTGGTCTTGCCCCTGCTTTTTTTTGAACTGTGTTCAGCAATCAAGGTGGGCAAAAGATGATTCAGGTGAAGCAACCGACGAGGAGCCTGAAGAGGATGAGAAGAAGAGGAAAAAAACGAAAAAGAAGAAGGCCAAAGCTCCCGCTAAATCCAAGGCTTCAAAGGCTAAGGCCCAGCAGGACCAAAAGACCAAGAAAAAGGATAAGCAAGCTTCGAAAAAAAAGGAGAACAGCTCGAGCCAAGAACAGGGCGAGGAAACCGAGGCCATGCAGCGCATGAAGAGGACGATGACGGCGGATTGTGCATATGTGCCTGGATCCTATAAAGAAGCTCGTTTGAGGTACATTGCAAAGAAGCGCGAGCGGGGCTTCTCGTGGAAGGAAGCTTGTGAAAAATGGAACCAGAGCTCTGCGAGGGCTTCGTGGCTCGAGGGCTTGTCGGTGAACGAGCTGAAGCGACGACGGTTCATTTAGGCTACGGCTACAGGCTGTGCGTCTTTAATCAACATGCAAACTTCTGCAGTTCAAATTCTGGTCGATAATTCGACTTCTGCGATAGTGCCCGAGACCAGCTGCAAGTGCCCGGCATCCTTCAAAGGATGAAAGTGCTTTCTGCATGTGTGGTGCACTTTATTGCCTTAAGGAGCTCATCAAGTCATGCTTGGAAGTCTTGGGATGTTTCCTTTTGGTGCCCTGCAGGGCTCCGAGGCTGTTACCAGTTAGATCCAAGCTAGCTGGGGCCACGGGGGTGGCCATGGTCGTAGCAGAGTTGTTGCGATGGGGTGCTCCGTTGCAACTGATTATGTGTGTGGTGCTCCTGGCCTTTCACGAAAAGGCCCTACAATCTGAGGACTGCTTCTGTGCATGATGTCTCTGCATGTACGTATACTAGATGATGCTACTAAAAGTTAGCAGATCGAATCGCAATCAGCCCTCCCAGGACCTGGACTTCCTGCACCTTTTCTCCGGTTGTGACTCTGTCGGCACGAGCTTCCGCCGAGAACCTCGGATTGTTGTTTTGGGATAGGTCGTCCAGAATTCAACAAGCCTTTCAAAATACCGAGCTCAATCACTGAAAGCAACTCCCTGAGGATCTGGGTCTACTTGGAACATCCCTGGATCTCGAGAACGATCCCCTGGGCAACGACTTGATGTCCACTGCAGGATTCTTGCGACTGGGCTATAAGCTTGCAATCAGCACGTGTGTTTGGGTACCCGGGCCTGTGTTCTCACTACAAAGGATGGCCTTGAACGAGGCCCGTCGTCTCAAGACGGATTCGAGCCTGACTGTCATTGGGCTTCCGTGCGCATCTTTCTCTGTGATGTGGCTAGGTTGGACTCATTTAAGGGTTTTTGTGCTTCTACGTAAATATATCGTGGGCTATCCATGTATTGTCTATACCTGTGTCTAAGGTCAAGAAGCTCCTCCGGGAGAAATCATATTACTCCCCGGGGCAACGAGGGCTACGGTTTCGTGCATGTGGGGAATGTTCTACTGGCACGCATGGCCATGATTATCCTAGTCGTTTGTGCTCGCAACGGCCGGTGGATTCTGGAACAGCCTTCACAGACATGTCTGGTGGATCACCCAGTATTTCAATGGCTGCTGGAAAGAGTCCCTGCTACTAGGCCTTGTTTACACTTAATTTAAAACACAGACCCAGACACGTTCTGTATGGAAGCATGGAAGCAAACCCATAGTCTCGGACAAGGTCTTCAAGGGCTTCTTCTACATGATTCGCTTTGGTGGCCCTTCGCTGAAGAGGCACATGCTGCTGTCGAACTGGCAGGACTTCGTTGAATCCTTGGTGGCTAGAGCCGGGTATCTGAGTGTGGAAGAGAGAAAGAAGGTCAAGGCAGTGAAACTTGCAGTGCACTCGAAGAGTAGAAGTGGGCGGGCAGTGAAGAAGACCTTCACTGGTTTGCCGAAGATGCTTAAAGCTTCGCAGTTTCTGGGCCGCATATAAATTGTTGTGCGAGCACGCATGAATCACCTTTGACAGCTCTATGTCCCGCTAACTTAGGCACTACACGGACAAGTTCGCAACAGCCCTGACTTCACACTACAGAATGAATCCTGCCGCTTCGAAGCCGCAAAGAGAGCTCTCCAATAGCCACCCAAAACGTGTTTTGTGTGCCAAGGTTCAGCTACCAGGTCCTCGATGTGTGGCCGCTGTGGATCCTGGCAAAACGGATTACGAGCTGTTTGTAGAACGGCTGTCTGTTGGTGCCTGGAGCTGCCCGATGAGCCTGGAGGCCCCTAGGCTTATACACTAAAGTTGCATCGATCTGTGCACATGTTGAGCCGTTTCCTATATAGTCATCCCAGGCCGGACTGTCGGAGTGCTGCTACTACCTCCTCCGGTCCAAGGACGTGAATCTGAGGGGCCAGTGGGAGCCTGGGCCTTTATTATGGTGCACTTGCTTGGGTACCTGTGAGCAAAATTGAAGCGCGGCATGCCCCGGATCAAGACTACCTAGCTGTGCCCGAGCTGTAGATACCCCATTCTCTGTGCTTGCATGAAGCCGTCGTCGAAGCAGAGACCGCAGAAGAAGCCAGAAGCGGCGGCGGCAGCCTCCTCGGACAAGCCTGAGATCAAGGACAACGAGAAAGTCGACCGGCTTGCACTAAAGACCGAGCCAGCGGAGGAGGATGTTAGTGAGCAGCTCCGAATGAAGCGCCGAGTTATGGAGATTCTGGGGGATAAGGACAAGGATAAGACTCAGTCCAGTGGAGAAGCACGTCCCAGATCTCGCTCGTGTCGGCGCACAGCCTCAGATGCTTCCACGTTGGTGCTCGGATCCGCGGTGTATTGCAGCAGCAGTAGTGCATCAGAGGACGACAATGCACACCCCAGCTAACAACAGACAGTCGCTCGGTGCAGGAAAAAGCCGACTTTCGGATGCTCTAGGCTTTCGCTTGCACAGATTGAGCTATTAATCCAGCAGTCATGCAGCACTTGATCCACAAGTCCTGACAACTATAAACCCGCACCCTTTAAATCAGCCCAAGCTCAGGATGATATCCGAGATCGATTGAAGTGCCTGGGCTGCAAAGTGAGTCGGACTGCGCAGCTACATTGTTCGGGGTGCTGTGTGTCGATCTCTGTGGGTGCCTTTCTTCCCTCCCCTCTCCGCTTAGGATCCTCGCTTAAATGACGAGAAGGCTTTGATCCACAAAACTCACCAAACAGCTTTCCTCCCACTCTCCCCTTCCTAGGCTCCCCTCTCTGGGGCTGTGTTGCTCGCCGCTATTGTGGGTCAAACGACGAGAACGCTTCTCGCCTTCCTCCCCGTACGATCCCCTCCCCTAGCCTCCCCTCCCTCTCCTCTCCTCTCTCCTCTCCCCTCTTGAGCCTCTCTCCTCTCCTCTCTCCTCTCCTCTCTCCTCTCCTCTATCCTCTCCTCTCTCCTCTCCTCTCTCCTCTCCTCTCCTCTCTCCTCTCCTCCTGTTTCCTCTCCTCTCTCCTTTCCTCTCTCCTCTCCTCTCTCCTCTCTCCTTTCCTCTCTCCTCTTTCTCTCCTCTCCTCTCCTCTCCTCTCCTCTCCTCTCCTCTCCCCTCCTCGCTACTTACACAGAACAGCGCAGAGGCACACACATATAGTAATGACAAGAACAACACACACACACACACACACACACACACACACACACACTCCACAAACAGAACAAACACCGAGAATCACTGGCAAGTGCAGCAAACACCTAGCAAATAACATACACAAGCACAGAAAAGCGCAAACAAGCACAGCAAACACCTAGCAAATAACATAGACAAGCACAGAAAAGCGCAGAAAAGCACAAACAAGCACACCAAGCACAGAAAAGCACAAATAAGCACAACAAGCACAGAAAAGCACAAACAAACACAACAAGCACAAAAAAGCACACCCACGACACACTCCGGATCCGAGGCTTCTTTGCAAGGATGCTTGCTGCCGTGACCGCACGAAGCCTTCAGAAGCTGTGCCTAGATTGCATATATGTGCGAGCATGTTCAGTATGTCTTGCAGACCAGCCCCGGTATATGATTGCCCGCAGCGAGGATGTCGCGGCTGGTGTCGGCCCATTCGCAGCAGGAGTCCTTAATTAGATCGCCGGCTTGTAGTTCGGCTGCTTGTGTGAAATACACACAACCCTGCATTCAAAGGCCCCACGAAATGATCGCTACAGTTACATTATCCGCTGTGCATCTGTTTGGGTTGCTAGGGGGAATTGAAAAGAGCTTGAGACAGGCTAGGTCCTGTCGATCCGAACCAAAAGTTTCGCGTGGAAAATGTGCCGATGACCGGTATATCCACACCACTTGACCGGTAAAGTGCGTGGAATCTGTGCTTTTCTGAAATCCATAGAACCGAACATTGCCGGTGAAGCCATATCAGCTTTTATTGAGGGCTTTCGTGACTTCCATACCATGAAGTCTACCAAAGAGGCCCTTGATCGTGGCCTGAAGTTCAAGCAAGCAGTGCGGGATTCAAAGAATGCTTCGAGCTCCTCCAAGTGGAAGCCGCCCAGCATCCCGCTTACAACTCCCTTGGGAGTGGCGGATATGACTTTGCAAGATCTAATGAAGAAGGAGAAGCTGAGCTACGCTGATGCCGTTACTGTTTATTTGTCTTTCCAGCAGTCCTTGAAGCAGCCTTCGAAGAAGCCCAAGAAGACCCACAAAGCCGAGGAGGAATCCCAACAGGAAACCGAGCCGGATGCTGTTTACTTGGCCCACCAGCAGTCCTTGAAACAGCCCTCGAAGAAGCCTAAGAAGACCGAGAAAGCCGAGAAGGAATCCCGAAAGGATACCGAGCCAGATGCCCCAGCCGGAGCCAACAAGAAATCCAAGAAGAAGCCCCCAGCCGATGACAAATCCGAGACGAATGCTTCAGCCCTGCAAGCTGGTACGAAGAGTCGAAAACCCCAAGCCGAAGAGCCAGCCCCAGCCGAGTCCAAGAACAGTGTCGCTCCAAGGGCCAAGGCTTCCAAAGCCAAGGCTCCACCAGCCTTGAAGCGGCTGGCAGCTTTCGTGGAGGAGCATGAACCTGAGATGGATCAGCCGCCAACCAAGCGACTGAAAGCTAAGACTCGCGTGGAGCCCGTGGACCGCGCCGAGCCCGAACTTCAGAAAGCCGACCCCGAACTGAAGGAAGCTGACCCCGAACTGGACGAAGATGAGGATTCTGCACTCTTCAAGGATTGGGATGAGCTGTGCTACGAGTACGATCTATGGAGGCAGGGGCTCCCTCAGGTGAGTGAGCTGGAGGCTGACTTAAAGGCCCACAGAGCAGCCTCTCCGATTAAGTCGGAGCCTGCAGCTGCTGTGCCGCTTCCGGGTGTGTTGGCACTGCCCGCTCCAGAGCTAAGTGCTGGTTGTCAAGATGGCAGCCAGGTGTGCTTTGATTGCAATATCTGCTGAGTGTTCGTGCTGTGTTGTGTAGTTAACTGCAGCTGTTCTGACCTGTGTATCATGAACACTCGGATCTCAGGTCAGGAAGTACCTTTGTGGATGGTCAAGCCAGGTTGCGAGAAGTGCAGCGCATCACCGCGAAGGACCGCCAGGACTCTCAGACGAATCTGAGCGAGCTCGGGCCTTCGGCAAGCCAAGTTGCATCTGCAGTTGACATGAACATGCTGTTGCAGCGTGTGCAGCAGTTAGAACTGGAGAAGGCCGAGCTGGAGTCGCAACTGAGCAGCGATTCGAAAGCTAGCAACGTGAAGGAGCCCGCAGCTAGCAGCGATGAAAAACCTAGCAACGTGAAGGAGCCCGAAGCTTCGCAGGAACCCCAAAGGCCGGTGGCTACACCTGTCAGGCCCAAGACCCATGTGTTTCATGATTCGCCGACGACAAGCCCGGCCGGAGGCCTCACGGATCTACTTGCAAAGGTGAAGACGCAAGCGGAGCCGGTTCCGAAGCCAACGGTGGCCCCGGACCAGGATCCAAAGGGTGATGAGAAGTGCAAGATCTGCTCTACAACACACCGAAAAGAATATGCCAAGCTCGCCACTTTGCTGAAAAAACCCTCCACTAATGTAGTCTTCGCTGCACATCCATGGTGATTGCTTTTTTGTGCTAAGAACCGATTGCACGAATCTGGAGCATTGGCCGGCTACCCGAATATGCTCAAGTTGCAAGAAGGCACCCTGGATGCCGCTCGGCTACGCAACATATACTTTGTCTAATTAGAGTTTAGCCTACGGCCTATGGCTGGGATCGCACACCCAATCTAAAGCTACACTTAACTTGGTATTCAAGGTTTAGAGAATGTCCTTTTTTCGGCTAGAGTTCAAGGTCAGCAAAGGTTTGAGGGGAGAGAGTGCTGAGAGAGATATGTAGGGAGAGTGCAGAGAGAGAGTGACAGGGTGAGTTGTGTGTGTGTGTGTGTGTGTGTGTCTGTGTGTGCGTGTGTGCTTGCCTGTGTGTGTATGTCTGTGTTTATGCCAATCAATCACTTGCTCTGATGATCGGGGGCTATGCTGAGGAGAAGCGGGCGCTGCTACGTGATTGGGTGCTCTCGGGGCAGAACTTGCAGGCCTGCGAAAGTACCATCGAGATTGCCAAGGAAGCAGGTGTGCGATCCGAGAAGATTTGGATGCAAATAGCCGTGAAGAACATGCACAAGAAGCCCTACTTCTTCAGCGAGTAATTCGGCACTTATATTAAAGAATCTTCAGAATGTTGCAGTTCACCATGCTGTGCCGCTGCATGCATGTCTCTTCAGTTGCAATCTGAAGCTGAGGCAGAAAGTGCAACACATAATTGCAACGCAAGTGGGCGAACGTGATGAACAAGCACCGGATTCTCTCGAAGATACCCTGTATTGGTGCATCGTGGGCCTCACCCAAGTGGAAAGCAGTGAGTTCAGGAGCAGGGCTCGCATTACATGCTGAACACTATGTTATGCGGCTAATTTTGCATAATGACTTATCCCCTTCAGGGTGAAGCAGAACCTGCGAGCGAACTGTCGCCCGGGATCAGAATTCTTTGACGGTGGCATTCCTGGAGCGGACCCGGGCCTCCTCCACAAGAAGCCTGCCGCGAGCCAGCAAGCGCCACTGAAAGCCGACGTCCTGAGGGCTTTCGATCAGCGCAAGGACGAGCTGAGTGCCATTGCCACGCAGCATGCAGGCCGGAAGCGAATATACAATTGCAATGTAAACCCAGGATTCTTAATGATGAGAGAGAGAGGGAGAGAGAGAGAGAGAGAGAGAGAGAGAGAGAGAGAGAGAGAGAGATTTGGTTCCCTGGCCCTACACCCCTATATAATGAACCTACTCAGGTGTTCGCGGCTCTGGCAAAAGGGGTGCATCATGCAAAGCCTCGACACGACGACCGGGATCGGTTGCAGGTTCTACGGCGACCACTGTGAAAGGTACCTCGTTGGTCAATGAGCTGTTCAAAAGTCCGAAGGAGAAGCACGGCAAGTGGTGTTGCTAGTTTGCAATTTCGGATTCACTTGCATCGTCGTTGCCATCGTCATCGTCGTCGTGTCCCGTTTGTATGATGCAAGGCAGAGAGATCAAGAAGAATGTGAACAGCATCGCTGATCTGATCTTCGATATGGGGGATGCCTCGGATGATGATTCCCAGAGGCTGCTTAAAGACCTGAAAACCCACAAGAAGAAGCTCGAACAGCTTGCGAAGAAGCCACCTATCTAAACTTGCTCATGTCCACAGCCATGAACACAACATCCCCATCCCATATCTTTGCATGAAATTGAATGTCCCGAGGTTCCACAGCATCGACCCAGAGGCCGAAGCCGCCAGCATGGACGAGCAGTGCGATGCTATCCACGAAGAAGTTGCCTTGGATATCGATGAGTATTATGTTTTGGGCTGCGATTGAAGCCTCGATAATTTGTTTGTGGTCTTAGTGGGCTTCGGGTCTTCGGTGGAGTTTGGCTTTGTTGGCTGCTTCAGATCCAAGGTTCAAAGGCTGTCTTTGTGCAAAGGGCAAATCAAAGGCTTGCTCAAGGAGCTCAACAAGAGGGCTGCCAGCTGATTTGATTTTCCGTGGGATTGCTGGTGCATCTCATGATTATACGAATGTACCTACGTAGTCTACAGCCTCGGCTCTCTTAATAAATTCATATTCATGGTGCACCGGTGATATCAGTGAGGATGTGGTTGCCACATCGTTTCGTTCCGTTCTTTCAGGAGTCGTAGTACTGGTATGCCGGCCGCTTGCACAGCTAGCTAGATAGCACTGAAGTATGAACATTTCAGTTGGGTGTTGATTGGAAAGTGTGGGGCTTCAATGTCCTTCAATCCTTACGCAGGATCTTAGGTTCGTAAATATATGTGCACGGCTTAAGCATATGGGGATCCTCTTGCTGGGGGAACCTTTGCAAGGCTTTGTGGAGGTGTCTCCATAGTGCAGGGGGCTAGGGGCTTCGAGTCCGTGCGCCAAAAGGGCGCTGGATGCTCGACATGCCAATTTGCCGCTTGCATATGTAGTTCATAGCTGCTGTGCAGGCAATCTCGAACCAAGCAAATCGCTGGGGCCAAAATAATTCTGTCACTATTGGGGAAAGCTCAGAAGCCGCCAGAAAGTGCACTGCAGCAGCTGAAGATCATGCAAATTATGAAACCCGTGCAATTGTTGTTCTCGGCAGGTGCCACTCGATCCCATTCAGCAGCCCTGCATGCCATGGCATCCAAACTGGACGAGAAGCCACTTGCCCTTCAATAACCGTGTGTTTGCCGCCAAAGGAACCCAACTCAAAGCATCCGATGTCGAGCCTGAGTTCAATTCAGGCTTGTGCGAGCTACGTGCGCTGGAGATTCGACGATCACTTTGGCGTGTGACTTGGGTGTCTGGACAGCAGTTATCATTAGGAATGCAGGGTTGTGCACAAGGAATGACATGTGCCGAATGAGTCACAATCTTTTGTGATAGGACATGACACACGCACACACACACGCACACACGTGTGTACACTCTCCATCGTGAAAAAAATCTACTCCTACCCCGATGACTGCCTAGGCGATACATATTCCAGTCAACTGCTGGATGGCTTTGCAAGCCGACCGCTTCGTGAAGCGGAATTCCACTCCAGGGTGCGCAGTGCTGGCTTGTCGCTGCATGCAGATGTTTCTTGGATTTCGACTCCTATTATTCTGGACGAGGATGAAGAAGAGACTATTGCAGCACTTCCTGTGTTGATGCCATCTCAGCTAGCTCCCTGCATGAATTATTTTTTTATACGCTTTCGGACCAATCTAGAACTTGTTTCAAGTTCATACTTAAGAATACATAGGTCTCTCTAGGTTTTCGGCTTACAGAATAACCAGTTCTATTCTATCAGGCCAAGTCTTTGCTAGAAGCTGGCTTCTTATCGACCATGATACCCGATACAGCCGCCGAACTCGAGTTGTATTGGAGCCGTACCCTGGAACACCTGGAACACCATCCTTTGCATTCGGAGCGCGACAAATGGAAGAACTCAATCCCGATCTGCATATGGGGTGACGAAGGATCCTTGAACCGCAGCTCTTGGATGCTTGCCAGCTGGACCCGTGGTGGGTTTAGTTTAAGTTCTTAATGTCGGGAACCGACAATCTAGCGAGATTTCATATTTTTATTCGAATGCACCCTGACCAGGACACCCGACTTGTCCAAGTGTCGTACCGATTCAAGAGCTTCCAGATACATCATGTATTCGCTGCCTGTGAAATCTTATATGATGCACGAGAAAACGAACGTCTCGCTACAGGCATTGAACAAAGCCATTGTAGATGACCTGAAGCTGCTCAGCACTCGTGGTATTTCTCTGGGCTCCGAGGTTCCTTTTACGCACACCAAAAGGGACCCAGTTAGCTTTTCATATCTATAAGTCTTTTTTTTTCGTGGTGATAAGCAATTACGGAATGCGAGAAAACCTTGCAAGGTCTATTACTTCCACGTCGTGGGCTTTAGGGGCGATCTGAAGCAGATGGGGCAAGCTTTCAACTTGAAAAGAAAGCCGGGCAGCGAGAAGGCGCGGCAGCGACCGTGGACATGCACTGGGGTGCATAGCAAAGCCGACAAAACTAGGATTTAGGATTGGTTGGGCCCGGTTCGTTGGGGTTTTATGTTGTTTGGTCTAGGTGAAGGTTTTCAATAAACCATGATCCATATATTCTAGCTGGATAGATTTACTGTCGACTCTAGCTGTGGGCTGCTTCTATTTTATCATGTAAAATCGAAGTCCAGGTTTGCTTTCGCTGCGAAGCATCAATGGGCAGGAAGAACTTCTCAATGGTTTACACTGACTGCTCTGAGAATGCTGGCTGGCGACCTACAGATTTGAATGGTCGGTTACCATGGACTGAGGAACCAAGCTACGCTGCAGTGGACGGTTTCTCGCTTCGCATGCTCAGAACTGACTGGATGCACACATGGCATCTGGGAGTATGCCGCGATCTGCTGGGGGCCGGGCTCAGGCTTATGGTTAGCAATAGGCGGTATTTTCCTGGGGCCAATATTAAGCTACGATTGAAGCAGCTATTACGTGATGTGAAGACTTTTGCAAAGGACAATGGCAAGCAAGTTTCTTTAAAAAACTTGACCAAAGCAACTTTGAGCTGGGGAAAGCAGTGTCCTGAGTTCAAGTCTGGTGCCGCTGACAGTGGAGTTTTTTTGCAGTGGATGTCGCAGAAGCTGCAAGAGCAACCTCTTGAAGAACCATGGGCTGGTCTTTCTGGTGTAGCATTTTGTGCAGACAAACTGTGCGACATCTTGATGAGCTCTGGAGTTTTCCTCACTTCTGAGCAGCAAGCTCAGGCAACGATCCTTGGTCAACTTTTCCTGCGGGGCTACATCGCGCTTGCTGGTGCTGCGTTTCGTGTACAGAGACGCTTATTCAAAGTCCGGCCGAAGTACCACTATCTTACGCATTTGATCGAGGACATGAGCCTCATGGGCTCCTGCAGGAACCCAGCTTGGGATGCATGCTGGATGGACGAAGATTTCGTCAAATATGGAATCCGGATGTATCGGAAAATGAACCATGTGACTGCGGGGCTCAACATCTTGAAGCGAAATCTCGTAATGCTGAAGGAGTCTTTGAAGCAGCACGTCGTGTGAAAAGTCGAGCCGATCGCGAAGGGGTTTGTTCAGGGTGTTCGGGGGATTTCAGGGTGTTCCGGTTTCCTCTAATTCCCCGCGAACCCTAAACCCTAAAGCCCTAAAGTTGTTGGCTCAAATTTTCGGCTCAAACCTTTGATGCTCATGATGCATCTCGGCTCAAACACTTTCGTCTCAGACCTTCAAACACTTTCGTCTCAGACCTGTTTTATGCTCATGTGGCTCGGCCGATGCATGCTCGCGTGTCTTATGCTCATGTTGCTGTGGTTTTGAATGCCACATATATTCGGGACTTGACAAAACGTCCGTGTTACAATGACCCTTATATCCCCAAATGACCCTTATAGGTCAAATGACCCTTATATAAGGCATGCTTTTGGAGGTAGCAACCCTTTTAAGGGTCAAGCCGTCCACAAGGTATGCCAGCGATCCACTAGCCATGGCGACCACACGCCCGCGCAGGGGGCGTACTATTGGGCTACGAGCTCTGGTTCTCTTAACCGAGAGCTCCGCTACCAGTGCGAAGACTAGTCACTTTTCCGCAAAGCCGTAGGCTTGGTCCAAGGGGCCCCTGCGGTAGAGGGGAACGTCTGCAACTGTACAAAACGCTAGGTACACACACTGTACGCGCTGCAAAACAGGTTGGTTTCACAGGTTCAGACTTAGGCTGCCTAAGCTCCCTGGTCCCCTTAGGGTTCTGTAAATCACGTAGGTTATCAGCCGTAGGTCGGTTCTAGGGCTGTGAACTGTTAGATAGGCCTATTCTTAAGGGTGTCAAGTACTCTGTGGTAGTGCTGCGACGCCATGGATCCGTTTATCCGGCAAAGAAGGAGTCCCCAGAGTGGGGATGTGGGCGTTCCCACGGGAACTTCTGAGCCAGATTACCAGGCAGCCTTGAGTCAGGAGGACAGTGAGCAACCTTCTGCATCTGTACGCTTTGGAGAAATGTCTCCGGGCACACTGGAGCAGGGCGGTGTATCGGTTGAAATGGAGGTTCCAACAAGCCGGTTGGCCGCGAGTCCTTTCCACTCTGACAAAGTGAAATCAGAAATTGAGCTCCTCAATTCGAGACCGGCCACACTTGACAATGACGGAAGGCGTGCCGGAATTGAATTCGATGAAGCTGCTTTGGGTGACTTGGGTTTCTCGAGCGCAGGTAGGGAACCGGACTATTCAATTACTGGTCAGGGACTTTGTGATGGAGTTCCTAGGCTGGCCAGAGTCGAGATGACCGGGGAGCCTACAGCTGTAAGGCATGCCGCAGATGAGGAACTAAAGCCGAGCGTTTCTGATTTTGATGGGGCGAAGCCAGGCGGTGGTCGGCCTAATCAGCCTGCTGTTGAACCAGAGGCTGGACGTGGCTGGGAAGTGACTGGGAAGGGTCGTGGTACAAACCCTGGAGACGGGGCTGGACCTGCAAACACCTTTTCTGGTGAGCAACCTCAGGCTTCGGACGCTCGAGAGCTTATTCCTGATCCGGGTCTTTCCAGGGTGGAACAGATGATGTTGCGGGTTATGCAGGAGAATGCGGTCCTTCGGCAGAGACTGGAAGCAGTGGAGTCTCAGTCAAGTGGTTTAAGCGGCGGAACTTGTGTTACCGCTTTGGAAACACAGGTCAACTCTCCTATGTCTTTCGCTGGGAATGTACAGAGTTGCGTGGCTGTGCAGCGTGAGAATCGTCTTGTACAGTTGCCAAGCGCATTTCCAGGTACCGATTTCCAAGGTTCTGATGTGCATGGAGGTTGGTTTGAGGGTCGTAATGCTGCTCAGCCTCCTGGCATGTGTCCGCCGCCTTGTGGAGCGGGG